AGATACGTCATGTTTACACATGTTTGTACTTCAAGTTTTCAACTTGGTGTGGCGCAACGGATAAAATATCAACACTCATTAACTATACTAGGCATACAATAAAGTATTATAATACCCAACTAGTTCTTGGTTACTTCTATTTTCAATGTCAACATTAGATGACAAGACCCATCAACACAACTTACAATGGAACTACAATGTAGTTGATAACATTAATATCAACTTTCAAGAAACCATAAAAGATAAATCCATGCATTCATGGTAACCATAACACCAGTAAGATGCTAAATTTCCATACTGTATTACAACATTGCATAAATATCAAATACTCTATAAAAGTGAACTAATTATATACTTGGCATATGTTATGTGTGAAAATAATACCTTAATGAATTATACTTCCAATAGTTTGTTATTACAAATGAAAACTAAGAAATTACAGATTATCTTATAAATGAGTATTGAGTCAAACTGCATTACATTGTGAAGTGTCGTAAAACCAGTGTGTAAACAAGACAACAAGAATTCCCTCCCTTTAACTGAGACAGATGCTATGCTATGAAATGGGATGTGCTGTAACTTATTTTGGTTCAGCTCAGTTATAATGTTTTAATGCAGTAAAGTTATATTTACAATGATTATGCTATTTGCATGAAGTGTGTTCTTACAAAATATACAACGAAAGTATGCCAAACGATGTACATGAAAATGTGGGAGGTCACGTGACCTCAAATATGAACGACCAGCGAGGTGTGGACAAATATAGCTTTTTATCCTAACTTTTGCTTGAAAACATTGCCTGAGGATTGTGTGTACATGTTTGACAGCGATACACATCATATATATTTGTGTGAGTACTCAAACGACAAATGACCTTGACTGTCCTTCGCTACCATGTCGTCCGTGAACACTGACTGGGCGAAGCGTTATCGTTAAGCAAGTAATTATCTAATTACAACATTATCTATACAGCCAAATATGGTTATTTAAAACCTACATGTTCTTATCTACATAAATACCTATGTTGTGGTCTTATCTCTACCGTTAATTATCATACATACCTGAAAACAACAAAGAATTTGGGTCACGTTTGCTTTATGTTCGATAAAACATGGCTGACAAAGATACGTCAGCCAATGACGTCAGCAAATGACGTAAGCGCATTCAATTTGACAGTGCGCTAAGCGGCACAACTTCCAGAGGACTGACAGAGTGATTTCCCTTAGACCGTGGACGAGCCACTCAACATGTATTTACTTACACCCTTGAAAATACGGAATATATTAAACAGGGGATGCAAAATTTAACTGAATGCACTTACAATGGGTGAAAGGTACTATATACAACAGATGCTTTGTTAAATGGATATGACGAACGTCCAAGAATATCGATTACCGTTCATTAACTATGACACCATACACTATATTATAAACAACACACCAATGCAGTTGCCTAAAATCTTTTATTTCAGAAATAGTGTTTTGGAAAAATGATCTGCCGAGATTGCACGAGGAAATTCACATACATGTACAGTGATCGAGTTAAAACAAGTTTCAACAGCTAAGGGGACTTAACAAATATCGCATTTTCGTACATATTTCGTTTATAAAACCTGGAACAACCTCACCTGTGCATGTGCTGATGTAAAAGGCAAAATTAGTTTTTCCAAATACCATTTTACAATATTAACGGTGCAGTATCAAGTAATAAATGGGTCCTCATGTGAACTTAAAATATCTGCTGATGCTATTACTTTATGTTCGTCAACTTTCCGTTCAAAAACATCACTTCCAGTCTTCGATCTTGTTCGAGAGAATTTCTTCAGAACCAACAATTATCCAAATCTCAGAATTCTCCAAGTAAAGTGCAACAGTTAGAGGAAAAGATAGATCTAACCATATGTCACAATAACATTAAAGATGAACTTGACCCATGACTTGAATAGACACAGAAGCCTTTCGAAACGAGGACCCAATAATGAAGAAGGTATACATTCTTTTTTTCCTCCTCATACTACGGGGGCGGTCAGGTAGCTTAGTGGTTAAAGCGTTCGCTTTATAAATAATTCGGAATAAAGTCCTTCGAGATATGCTAGTTGTATGCACTGTTTTCTGTGTGACACGTATAGGGCCACCATGATCTGTCTACAGACGTCTCGGGGGCGGTCGGGTAGCCTAGTGGTTAAAGCGTTCGCTCGTCACGCCGAAGACCCGGGTTCGATTCCCGATATGGGTACAATGTGTGAAGCCCATTTCTTGTGTCCCCCGCCGTGATATTGCTGGAATATTGCTAAAAGCGGCGTAAAACCATACTCACTCACTCACTCCTCATACTACGTGCCAATATAATTTCCATCGGTTCATTTAGGATAGTTCCTTTTGTCAGTATTCTTCACACAATATTCACTTAAAGTATGATACAACTACATTTCCCTATTACCTAAAATGTGAGCTTGACCTTTGACAAATGCATTTGACATCTGATGTTGTAGGATTTGTTCAGAAACATGTAAATGTAAAGTTTACATGCCTGTAGAGGTAAGCATGTATCAGAAACTGACAGTGATATAACCTTGATTTACAAAAACTTCAATGCTGTCATTGACCTTTGACTAACCTTGTTATAACCAAAACCCTTTTAGGGTTAGATATTTACAAATTAAACGTCACTTTGGACTGGTTTATTGTGTGAACGATATAAAAGCGCTGGTTAAACTGTGTGAACCTCCGAGCCTGTGAACAAAACATACAAACATGACTCGAGGTCAACCATCAATTTGGGATTTATACATGACGTCACATAAGTTTGTAGAGAGGTGCATTTCGAGTCGAAAGGGCGCATAAGGATGAAATTTATACTTACTGCTGTTGAAAATGAAGTTTATGGAAGAGTTATGGAAAACACCCCGACGCGTGAACCCTCATATGGCACTTGCAAAATGGGAATATGACTGATTTATGAATGTATTGCTTGTGTTTGGATAATCGCAAACCAACTCGGACGATGTGGAATGGACTGGTGGGGATTGAACGGAGTGCTTTGAAACCTTTGTGTTTTGTGTTAATTTTCAACGTCAGGGTGTGTTATATTTGAGTTTGGGAATTGTCGGGTGTGCTGTCATACTTTGCTTAGCTGGTGTTTCTTGACACCGGAGATGGACCTACTGTATGACTTGATGCCAGCTTCATTTCTGTGCCCCGTCCCTCCTCATGTGCCGCCGCTTCTCGGCTTAGAATGCACGGAGAAGGTAGGTCAACTCAGAAACCGGTCAATATCGCTCAATAAATAAATTTCGTTCACCTCAGTAAATTTACAGAATTAATTTCCATGTAGTTTGTGAGTATATAACATTATAGAATTATACAAACATGAAAATTAAACAAAATCTGTTTAACCACTTTTAAAAGTCACACTGCATGACACTGACGAGACAAACATTGCAAATCCGAAAACGTCCTTTTTGAGGTATATGGGCATTGAACTAAACAAAATGGAGGATGAATTGATTCTTACCGTCGTATTTCCTCCGACAATGCGTCATTATTTGACATAGGAATTTACTGCGATCGAACGATGTTATCAAGCAACCAATTTTGTTGACTGACATTGTCAATCGAGCAACCACGCCTACCGGTATTTCCATTTTCTCAGTTTGACGTGGTGCTCGTAGCTCCAAGTGGAAGTCCTACGGAGTCTAGTATTTTATTCCCTTGTTATTAACTTTTTTTATTATTGTCTAGCACTACAATTAACCGCCAGTGACCAGAGTGATGGGATATTTCCTGCTGTGGAATGAAGTAAGAAGCAGAGTTACTTGTAAGCTCCAATGAAAGGTGGTCTACCTTTGATTACTGATGGTCTATAGCCTCGTTTTAATTATTTAGACGCAATCTATTGTATACTGATGGGGTTCCTAATTTCGATCTGGTTTGTGACACAGTGATTAGTGTATGAACACCTTATATTATCACTGGTGTCATCACTTGATGATTTTCACTAGTCAATTCATAAAATTTTCACCGAGACTTTGCCCTTTACGCCAAATGGTATCTGTATCGCTTGGTAATCAAGCCTGGATATACTCTTGCATTGACGTTTCTATTTACTTAATTGAATCTATTTTGAAATAGATTTCATCATGTGTGATAAGTGCTTGTACAGAATAAAAGTAAATGACAAAACTTCTAAAACTATTCCGATAACGAACGTACACAATAGTAATGGGTTTACGGCAGCCATTGGTATATGCATCGATGTGTTAACTCTCGACCGATAAGGTGACAAGTGTGTTCGTTTGTCTGTTGTTTTAACCCGATCCCGTTAGTCGCGCCATACGATGTTTTCATACACAAAGTTTGTGTGTAAGAAGGCATCCAGATTTAAGGTATCAAATGGAACTAGATAACTGATTTTGAACAATAGCAATCAAGTATCTTCAGTGTCATGGTGAAATGCTAATTGTATGTTATGTTATCATATGGTAGTGTTTAATATTTTAACATTGTATAGTACATGAAGTGACGTATGGTTGTGTTTTTATGTTTACAATCAAGTCAGAAGAAATTACTACAAAAGAGAGAACTGTTGAATTCAATTATTAAATGTTTCCCTTAGATATTAGACAGTGCATGTTGTTCTATGCATGCCATCTTGTGTATGTATTAATGCATGTTGCTGTTCTAAAGTAAAGACATGGGCCCCGTTCCACAAAGCGATCGTAGCGCTTAGACGATCGTAACTCCCCTACTTTAACATTGGCTCACGACTGTCGTAGGGCTACGATCGCTTTGTGGAACGTGGCCATGGTCTCATATTACCTGTATATTGTCGTTGTATCAAACATTCGGCTGGGGCAACATGAAACAATGAACTTTCGCTCCAATTATTAGAATAGCATGACCGTCCATGTTTACAACCAAGACATTAAGATACAACATGGAGGCAGAACAACAAAGATATATTATGCAAATATGAGTCAAGGTTCGATAACAGTCAGGATTCTATTTGGTCTCCCTACAGGGGATAAGAGACGTCAACGGCAACACAAACTCGTGATTGTCCGTCCGGTAATCGGGCTGGTAATCTTTCAGAGCAGGTTTCCAATCCTTTGAAGGTCGTAGTGTCTGGTAGAACCTCTGCAATTACATGAACAAAAACGATGGACTTGGGAACTGCAATAAGTGCTTTAAATTACCCATTGCTTACTTTGTTACGTTTGGTGTTTGCTGTGCAGAGTTACACCCCTTGATCTGATCCTATCACCTTGAGTGTCAATTCCTTAGTCACCCTGATAACAGTAATAGGTTTGTCAGAACCACACCTAGCGCAGGGACAAATTTACAAGGCCTCAAAATATTTTGGCTTTCTTCCCACCTTGAGATGATACAGTGTGATAAGATTGATTTTAACATTTCCATCATTATTCCTCACAAATACTGACAAGTTCAAGAAAATTCAACTTGTTGCTTAGTGTAGAAAAATGTGTAGTAAGTTTCTGAAAGAAAGGAAAAGCTCTTACAAATATCTGCCAAACATTCATCTCATTATTCCTATCTTATTGCACGTAAACACTGACAGTAATCATTGGTGGTTCTGCCATAGTTTATTTTTGTTATCAGCTAGAATTGATCTCAAGTGTACATGTACTTCGAACATTACCTAGGGCAGTAATGATAATACCATACTTGTATACTGCCTTAGCAAAAGCTCTTTAAGCCACTAGTTCTCAAGAAAGATGTCTGAAGTTTTTGAATGAAAATGATCGACCAAGCTTTAAACTGTTAAACAACATGAGGCTTGGCAACTGACAAACTATGTTGTCAAGTACAAAATGCATCCCAAACTACAAATGCAGGGTATTCACACGTTTTCAACACACATCTTAATCCCCAATATTACCATACCTAACCCTCAGCAAGGGAGATTATGGGTAAAACAAATTATAATTTCAGTGTTGTAGATTGTGAGGCACAAATAATGGTACAATATTAACTGACCTGCCATAATGTCCCTTTTGCCTTACTGAGCTCCCATACCATAACTACAGGTATAGGGAAGATGGGTAGCATGGACAGCAGGAACCCCATGCCCCGCGCTGCAGTAGGGTACGTGTACCCGTTGTATGTGGGCATCTGGTAACCAGTCACAGTCGCAACAAATACCATCTGTGGATTAGAATAGAAGACTACTGATATCCGTAATTCTACCATGCATTTTGTTGGTTGGTTGGTTTGTTGTTTAACGCCGCACTCAGCAATATTCCAGCTGCATGACGGCAGTCTGTAAATAATCGAGTCTGGACCAGACAATCCAGATATTAATATCATGAGCATCGATCCACGCAATTGAGATCGATGACATGCATCGACCAAGTAAGCGAGCCTGACCACCCGATCCCGTTAGTCGCCTTTTACGACAAGCATAGTCGCCTTTTACGGCAAGCATGGTCATGAATTTGGAAATTACTCTGATTGGTCAATCAGAGGCTATTAAATCACAATAAACCCCCTCTGATTGAAACAGCTGGTTTGACGGCCGCATCACCGTGGAAGCTAATATTCATAGAATAGTACTATTTTCAGTCATTGTCGGAAGGCATATTTAAATATTTATATCTACAATTACAGGTTACAAATTGCACAGATGCGGTTACTACAATATTTAAAGGATGTTTTGCAATATTTCGTGCAGAAAACACGATAGAAATCTACAAAGGGAATATATTTACGTTTTGGAGACAACAGAGAGGTTGGAATTTTGGCGCTTTTTTTATATACGACGTCATATCTTTTGCGTCACAATGAGCGATATGACGTCATAATGGTGACGTGCAGTGAAGAACGAAAGCCTTGCAAAGCTTGCTTAGTTTTCGTGAGGGATGCCCACCTCATGTTAGCTTACCAAGTTGCTGTGCTTATATGCTTTCAGTGCCTGTCATATGTTCGAGTGCGCGTTCGGTTCAAAATTCAATTTAGCGCGGTTAAATCTACAGGTAACCTAGCTCTAAACACAGCATATTTATCTCCTTATTGTAGTAATCTGTTTACCCTAGTCAGGGACGAATACCATCGAGAAAGTCTTACCAACAGGATGACAGGGTTAGAGATACACCAGCAGAAACGCAAAATGACACCCGGTTGTCTTCCAAGCATCAGCTCTATGTCACGGCCAAAACGCTGTACGCCTGGGAAACATTAACTATATGTCAGCAACCTTGTTTGCACAAAATATCCAGCCATGCACGTGACTTGACTTTCTATAGCTTCTTGTGAAAAGGCATCCATATATTTTAACAAAACATGCATAAAGCAAATCCTCAAAAGTTCAAAATATGACGTTTGGGATTAACGACTTAATATAATGGCAAGTGAACTTGGACATGCTTGCATGATGCAGCTATATATTCCTGATAGGCAATTGTATTGATTCTTTTCCTTTTGAGAAGTGTTAATGTGCGGCGCCAAAACATGTCATGCGTTATGTAACATGTCATTATTTACAAGAAACTATATCCTCTTAATAGTTGAAATTAGCTCATAGTTCATTAACCTTACCATATATCCAGCCTACGATGACAGATTCGAGAAGACCAGTAATGACCAAACAAAAGGCGGTAGTGAACCAATCCATTAACTGGAAGATGTAGATACCGCCCTGGAAATGCAGTCAGATTCATTCGATTCAAAGAATTATTGGAAGGCTGAAGATCGGAAAAAAGTCTAAAGCAGAACATTACATAAAGATCAACTTATATTATAACGACAATGTACGATATGCACAATGAACACAATTGTGAACACATAAGCAAGTTTACACTAAATATATTAACCCTATTATGAACAGAACAAGGCCGAACATCCCCATTCATTAGCACAATTTCACAATCCTGCATACAAACTGGCTTCTGTAGTCAGCAAAAAATACGTTTGCAATTTACATTTGTCCTTTAACAACTGGTTGCCATCGAGCCACTTGTTTGTACTTAAACTACAATGAAAGGTTTGTCATCGCTTGTGAAGAAGTTGAAAAGCATTCCTGCAGCAAACGACAGCAAGTTAAGCTTCCATACCTTCAACGGTATATATCCTGATAACCAAACGTTCAGGTAAGTTTATGCATTATATCATAGTCAAAATATTATTTGGCGGCTCAACAAGTATACCGTGTATGAAACATGTTTGTCATTCTCTGCTGACGGAGGACACACTCACTACTGAGAGCAGTCACAGTGTATCATTTCATTTTTTTATCGTTATAATTCGTGGTGTTAATTTACAAGCCGTGTACAAAAAATAAAAGAGACTTGTGAAATCGCTCCATGTGTTTCATGTTAAGATATGTGCATAAACATTCAGAGAGACAAAAGAAATCCCACAAGGGTGATGACATCCTGGCAGTCAACTTTCCCTTTATCGCCTGCAATACTCCAGCAGCTCCAACCTTTGTTGTCTACATTTTACAACATTTGAAGAACAATCGAGCAAGTTCTTTCGACGAAGATTTCAATAGGCTAGGTACGACTTCTTGTGTGACTTTGCCTCTTTTGTATGTAAGTAAACACTTCTAATTAGGTTGTGCAAACGCTGCCGAGTAATACTCTTTCATAAATGTATACTTGTTCCGTTATATGGCGATCTGGAATGACTGAACAGTGTTTCACTTAGTATCGTTGATTTTATGAATCATGAACAATGCATTTTACATACATCACGTGTTTTTGATTATTGTGAAAAAATATATATTTGTGGTTGAGCCAAGCTGAAACCTTTGGTACATGCATTTAGCGTCAATGGCAACCCTAGGAGGAAGTAGAGAATGGTCACTCCTCCAGTTACAAACGTCCTGTAACGCTGCAGCTTGTCTGGGAAGGCGTCGACTATCCCCGCCACAAGGTTTTCAAACATCCCAAACTGAAATTACGAGAAGACATTGCCTTTGCGTTGTTTGATAAGCTCACCTATTCGCGAAGACCTGACATCACCAATAATTGATAGTGATTCATAAACACATGTTATGATATAGTTGGAATCGCACAACGGACGGAGATATCGTAAGATTACGGGAATGGACATGTAGCATTTATTATCATTGATATGATATGATGGAACGTCTATGCGATGCCTGGAATATAGCATGCAATGTCAATCATTACCTCTCATATCGCTGTGTCAGAGAGGTATTACCATTACATGACATGTTTTGGTATTACATTATATAGACAAAATAACATTTCATCAAAGCTAGACTAAATTAGATAGTAATTAACGTTGTATGTATGATTGTTACTTTTTAACATTAACAATTTTGAAGTTTCTGCGCATATTTTTGGCATAATGTAAATTTAATATTGACCTGACTGTCCAGGCCAAGCGTGAAGAGCATGAGGAAAAAGAGCACGGCCCACAGCTGGGGTAGAGGCATTTTTGTGATGGCTTCTGGGTAGGCAACTAATGCTAGACCCGGGCCTGAAACATTCAAATATAATGTCAAAACGAAAATGTGTCTTTCACTCGAAAATATTCTCATTGGCAACCCGCAAAGTACTATTCCTATATGACCAGGTGATGTTTCCAAATACAATGTTTGTACTCGTTTGGCCTATGGTATGTTCATAACAATATTGGTTGTCTCAATAATCAATTTGGTTTGCAGTGAATATAAATCATGTCCTATTGTGTCAGAGTGAGTGAGTGAGTTTGGTTTTACGCCGCTTTTAGCAATATTCCAGCAATATCACGGCGGGGGACACCAGAAATGGGCTTCACACATTGTACCCATGTCGGAAATCGAACCCGGGTCCTCGGCGTGACGAGCGAACGCTTTAACCACTAGGCTACCCGACCGCCCCTTATTGTGTCAGAACATTAATACGCAACATATAAACAATAAAACAATGAGTACACAATGAGCAGACTACCTGCATGACATGAACACAACAATGATTGTTGTGTCCAGCTTTGACATGCAGGAGGTGGGCAGAGTTCCAGCTCAACCGCCAGGCGCTTCCTTCGAGTGACAAGTGAAATGTGAAGTTAATTCTTATAAATCACAACATGTGATACAGGGAGAATATACATGTATATTAATATGTAAATATTCAGTGAGAATGCGTAGATAGTAATAACAATAGTAATATTAATAGTATAAGATATATACATAGTATGTGTGAGCATATACAGACATACAAATATATACTAGTAACATTAATTGTACACTTTAATTGATGTATTGATATACTTGAACATGGTTATAAGGGTTTACCTATGTTGTAAGGACATGATATTTATTCTTCAATTGAAGGACATTTGCAATAGTATATGGAAGATTCTGAGGACATTTAAGTTAGGTCAATATAACTTGAAATGTAACTCGTCGCCTATTCCAAGATTACATAATGAACAGAGTCTATTTTCTCCATGTACACTGTGCCATCGACCATTTTCATAGGGACATAATGATTACCTAATCTATATCTAATCGATTTATACATAATCTTAGGTTTACAAGCAGTGATAATAGGTATGGTTCAATTATTTATAACTGCTTGAGCATAAAATAATAAAAACCTTTTGAAGAGGAGATCATCTCTCGTCTCCAGCCTTGATAATATTGATCTTTCAGAGTTGTTTTCATACTTCAACCATGAAATTGAACCCCGCGGTCTCCAGTGTAGTGTTCATACGAGTTAAAAGTAGGAAGTTATAGTTAGTGTTACATTGATTCATCATATACATGAGCCCATAAACAGTATGCATCGGTTTTCTTGGTGATAGTACACTTTAACGCCAATATCAAATCATTCCAGTTTTAATGTTAATTTCTAGTGGGTATCTTCCAAGTTCACCAGAAACCATAAAGCTTGAAGTTGATTGCTTAATTTTATATATACGCTTGCAAAATTCCAGAAGACGTTTTTCAATCGTAACAGACTTTTCAAAGTCCCACACTTCAGAGGCATATCATAATATTGGTTAAATGTAAAACAAATGTAATTGACAGTCGACGGACATTTCCTTCTGTTGAATCTTTGTAAAAACGACAAATATGGCTCTGGGGGCTTGCTCGCAAAGGCGCTTTTGTGTCTTACAAAACCGATCACGACATGTAAAACATTTCCCCAAATATACAAAGCTTTTGACAATATCTAGTGCAGAACCCTGTAGAATAAATCTATTTTTCTTTTTTGGACAAACGTTTTGAAAAAAATGAGTACTTTTGGGTGCCAAAGATTTATCTTAAGTTTCCAGAGATTGCAACAATCACTAGAAACATTTCATTAGTTGTGAAGATACTTATCCATTTCTGCCATTAGTACTGTGTCTTCTGCATATAATAATACGAGAAGCTTTAGAAATATATGTAAATCAAACTCCATTTAATCACTAACACATTTCAAAACAGTGACACCATTTTGTGAAAAGTACTGCTCAAGATCATTCAAGTACAACGCATATAGGAAAGGTGACAGATTTTCACCCTGTCTAACACCGATTTTGCAGTCAAAGAGTGACTATATGTTTCAATTACTGGACACACACGATTTAATACTTTGATACATAATCAATCAAACTCCCACAAATTCCTTTACTAGCTATTAACTTTGACGACAGGCCTAATCTCCATACAGTATAAAATAATTTTTGCGAATCAACAAAAACACAAAATAGCGTTTTCTTAAAGTCAGAACAAATATCATTGAGAGTAATTAATGTACACAGTTTATCTACATACATCATATGTCTTCCTTTCCTAGTTGCATGATCATCAATATACACACGTTTTATCAGTGTTCGATAAAAAAAAATCAAACTACAATGTACATCTGAAAAGATTGGATCATAATCATTTAACGATGAGATATTTGAAAAGCAGTACCACTTTAGAAGTTGAAACTAGGTATCCACAACACTAGCCCCTTAACAGGTGAGCCTGCTCTTGTCAAGTATATTACCAGCGCTGGATTGTCTGGTCCATACTCAATTATTTACAGACCGCCGTCATATAGCTGGAATATTGCTTAGTGCGGCGTTAAACAAGAAACAAACAAGACAAAAAAAGTGAGCGTGGCTCACTTATACCCACGACGCGCCTAGTGTGTCAGTAGTTTCAAATTAAATAGCTAGGATATCAGTTGTATCAGTTTGAACCCATAATAATATTTGTCTCTGTGTCCATTGTTTCCACTGGTATGATGTTGTCTATCATGCCATTCATACAGTTGCATGTAGATGTACATATTATAATTGCTCATTTAACGCTTGCGAATAAAAAGCTGTTGGATGGGGACGAAGCACAAAACACAATGAAGACGGGGACCATTGACTTACCAGCAATGTAATGGTTGGGTAACATTAGACTGATTAACGAGGAGGCACAGTCAAATATTAGATTGTAGTTGACACAAACCTAAATTACAGCATATAAAACAAATAAATGGTGCAAGTGTCACACTGTGACAAAAGTAAAAGCATCACTATTAACATTTGCACCCACTGTAATAATGGATCAGATGTATCATACCATCGCAACATTAGAACTTTTGTTGTAACTGACTAATGGTTATTTACTAACCTTCTGTAGCCACATCAGTGACGCTAACGTTGGCCTCTTTCGCCAGGAATCCAACCACGGAGAAGATAACGAAGCCACTGTAGAAGCTGGTCAGACCGTCAGCAAGAGTTACTATGATGGCATCCCTGAGAAGAGTTATGTTAGCATCTATTCTACAATATACTGTTTATGGTGATATTTCATGCTCATTAATACATAACATCTTTACACTTAAATGTGTGCAAATATCATGTCAAAACAGAGATTTAATTAACTTTTACACCAATCTATACTCTTATACATTGCGTATTTAACATTTGTTGTTTTACTTCTCATCTGATGATGACCTTTAGATAACTCTAAACTTCATGTATTTCAATGTTTAATATTTACACAACTGTATATATATCCATGGAAAAGGTCTCGATATAATTTCATGCATTTATTATCATTTCCTGCATCATCTTACAAACATAAAGCAGAATTAAACTTGAACATCGAGTGGTCGTGCCGTGGGTTCCCAGCATCAGCCTCTGGTATGTCTGTGTCTGGTCGCGGTGTAAATCAACATTAACTGGTTTTATTTGACATTCAAATATAAAGTATTGTGTTGAATCTGACGAGTGCCGTCGGTCTATATTAACTGCAGAACACGTGTCACGAATTCACCTATTGCAACTGTATCGGAATGCAATTAGTTTTGGACCATCATTTATAGACATGATGACAAAACGTCATCAATATCCCCAGCAATGGAAAATACTTGTCGTGAATTAATATACACCTCGTCAAAAGTCTCGCACCACCAAGATGTTTTGATAATCAGAAAACCATGGGTAAGGAGAACCTGGAAAGCCAAAACAAAAGCAATCAAAAGTGTTACCTAATGTCAAATAAGATGTTAATTTTATTCATAAAAAGAAAAATGAGCCTTTGCAAAGAACAAATAGCACCTTTATGAAGACAAGATGTGTGACAAGTGCATGGTTATCAAAATAAGGCACAACAAAACCAGTATGGTATTGTGGTACCTAAGCATTTAATGTCCCATGAACTGTGACCCATCGGCTAATCGGTCCCATATGTATTAGGGTGAAAGGAGTGGACGTCTTACACGTCTTCTGGCCTTTAATCCTGCTGTGTTCAGTTGAAGTTTGCCGTCAAGCCATTAAGTCTGACGTACAATGACCTTGACCCCACTGGCACTGGTCTTTCGTGGATGTCCTCATCTCAGCAAGTATATCACATGTCCAGTCAATACGTGTTTTCAGATGAGTCGACTGATTACAGTATGATCAATGTTAAACACGGTGGTAATAGCCCGACATGTCAGTTTGGTGCATGCCAATGATATGCCATCTTTGATTTATTTTCTGGGACAGTACGCTAAGGCATTTTAGTTACAATCGTTCCAAAGACAGATTTTCAAATAGGTAGAACTTTCATTCAAAATATATAGCAGTAAAGACGCGTGAACTTTCTGTCATCAAACATAAATTTCTCTATAGAGACACCTTAGGTGTGCATATGGCTTGCATAAACTTTGGGCGGTTAAGGTTGCTACCATTCCACAGGCAGATGATGTGTCAACACAAAGTGTATTGAAAATGAACTCGCAATTACAATTCAGATTTGGTGGTGCGATACTTTAGACAAGCTGTATATGTGAAAAATGTTGCTATGGAAACTCAAAAACTATTTATATATAAAATACCAAACCACCAAAAGGCATCAGTTCACAAATGGACTATCTTTGTGCAAGTTTGGTGAAGGCATATTGAAACGTTTTAAAGAGCTGATCCGGAAACGAGCACTACCGTAAAATCCAGTCTATGTCAAAGTTGTTGCCATGGAAACACGAAAAATATAAACTAAAACAAGGTATCAGTTTACAACTTCACTTATCTGTTTGCGAAGTTTGATGAGAAAATACTGTACGGTTTTGAAGATCTGCTCCGGAAACGAGCACAACTGCCATTTTCAGGCAAAGTCGTTGCAATGGAAACATAAAATATATTTTTAAAGTCTCAAACTATCAAAAGGCACCAGTTAACCACTAGACCTGTCAAGGTTCCAAGTGTGTTGAGGAAATAGTGTATGTTTTTCAAAGCTCTGCTCCGAAAAAGACATCTTGAAAGCACGGACGCAAAGACGGAAATGTCCGTTTTAATGCCACCTTGAAACGCGTTGCGGGGGATAATAATAACTCTGGAATCACCTGAAGCAGTTGTTGTGGAATTTGTTGTAGCTGGCCATGGTGATGACTGACCCCCAGGTTGCCCCAAGGGAGAAGAATACCTGCAGGGCTGCCTCAATCCACTCCTTTGAGAAACATCAAATAAGGCGCACATAATTGTGTATGCGTTGCATGTTGATAATTGTTTATTACGTTGAAGTTGCATGTTGATATTCATATATATGTATACATGTAACACGGCGACAATTATGTTTGCTACCCAAGGGGTGATGTGACATACAAAATCTGTACATCGCACGAGTATCGTACAATTTCAAGGTATCAGCTAGACTTATTCGTAGTAATTGGATAACCTTGAGCTCGCTGGTCACCTGAAGTGCTTAAAAAGGTCAAGCTGGACAAATTTTCCACTCATAACATTTACGTGTCCTTTTGAAGATTTATACTTTAATAATAAATGAAACAAACAAGTCCGCTGGGTAGCCAGCGGTATGGGGATTTCTGTGTTTAAGTTATCCCTTATTAGACATCTTTTCCAAAATGGGAAGGCTTGTCTGTTTGCGTTGTTGGGGGCCGGGGACTCTTTGTTTTAAAGTTGCACTGAATATGACATGATTTACTCAAACCGACATGTGTCTCACAATATATATACGAGTAAATTTATCACCATTGTCAAAACTCGACATCTGCAGATCATCTAAATTTCCACAACCGGAAGTGCATATAGCTTATTATGTTACCTGGAGGCATAAGACTTCCTGTTTTAAAGGGGTCTCGCATTACTCATGTGTTTTACCAATCCTGAACCGAAGCATTTGATTTGAATTGTGATCACAGTGGAAAGGCCCCAAGGTAAAATACTGTTATCTTCTATGAGTTGATAGTTGGCATGGATTTCACTGAAGGTAATGGTATTGCACTGGAAATGCGTGGTGGTATGTAATGATTTATGGGGCTTTCTGTTTATGCAAGTCCTTGCAGACATGTTTTCAGTCAAAAACATATATTTAGTGCCATTGTTCAGCCCCTTAGGTTCAAACTGCAATGCACTTTGGATATGTTTAGTTAGTTGTGGAATGAAACAGAAATGTGACATTTTTCGCAATAATTAATATTTTGACTTTGATCTTTCGTTTGCGCTTTGACTATGCTATTGAACCCTTTATAAATATCATGTCCTCAGACACCACAAATGCACAGAAGCTAAAACTTCAGGTATTCATTTGGTTCACCATGGACAGCCTTATCAAGTAGCCGTCATGTAAATAGGGATTATTCAAACATGTTTCTCATTATGGTATCATGTTATCTTCAAAGTTTAGTGTGGTACTCAGAAAATATTTGAATATCAATGCTCACATCGTTTGTTAACCGAACCGGTAAACGTCTGTGACCTCCCACATTAAGCTGACACGCTGTGATATAACTGGAATAATGTTAAAAGCGGCGTTAAACCCAACTCATTCACTCATTCACATCTTTTGTCATGTGGCTGTCTTTGTTGACATATCAATGTGAGGTACAGTGCCGAAACACTATTATCTAACAAGCTTTTGCAATGGATTCCTGTGTGAACGTATCATACATAAAGACATATTTCAGTGTTTAAACTACTTAACAAACGACATGACTCACCGAATAATTGGCTAGCTTTGAAAAGTCTGGGTTTATGTAAAACTTGATACCATCCACAGCACCTGGTAGAAGCAGGCCTCGAATTAGCAGAATCGTCAGCAGGATGTATGGAAGTAGTGCTGTGACATACACCACCTGCAACATGGCAATTGTGACATTAAAGCGGTTGTTCTTCATTGCAGTTACCTTTCCAAAGACGGGTGCTGATTGTCAAACCTTTATAAATCGAAGATGACAATACCTTGCCGAGAGATTTGATGCCCTTGATGAGACACAGGAATATCAACAGCCAGGACACAAAGAGACATCCTACGAGATGAGGCTGGAAGGTCCCCATGTCTTCCAAACCATCGGACTTCCGTAACACGTAGTACCTATGATGTGTGTATAAGCAAATTTTTAACTTAGTTGTGTTTAAAGAGCTATTTGATAAACTTCGCGGGTATATATGTTATACACTGCTTTTTGACATTTCATGTCAAACCTATAGTTGTGTCAAAGCGTCCATCAATGTCACGACATTAAATATATTTAGAAACGCGAATGCCATATGTGTGTTCAGATTTGTAACATCATCACATTTTTAACAATATGGTACTTACTGCCAAAATTCCTCGGCTGCTGTTTTGTCACCACATCCAGTCCTGGATACATTTCTGAAAGACATGTTGCCTATGGAAGACCTTAGAAGTACAGTAACATTATCAGAGATATAGCCAGCGTCGGAGCTCGAGGCAGCGACTTGAATAGTCAAGTTCACCCCAGTGCCATTATCATGCACAGGGCCGATACATGTGTCCGTGTTCCACCAGTTGTCGCACGTGAACCAGGGTAGTGTTGGATAGAAGGAGTTGATGAAGTAGAACATGACCCAGGCTAGTACGGCCACGTAGTAGATACTTGTGATCCCAGAGACAATACAACATCCCCATCCTATCCCTGAAATGTTTAAAGTTCACTTGAAAATGGTCAGTGAAACCATGCAGTTAACAGGCTTGGTTGACAATGGATGGATAAATTTCAGTTGTTTACCGAAATTATAAACTTGTCACATTTGCCACAATCTGTAGCTGTAGATCCATGTGATAAGAATATTATAGATTTAAAGATGAGTGGTGTTTTTGCTTGGTTATGTTAAGGATTCAAAGCTTTGTATTAGACAATTCCTATAACCATTGCTGAATTGTGTCTATTTTAATGATGCCAATCAAAGGTACTTGGAACGTACACACAAGTATCATATAACCATTCGTATGAGCATGTTTAAGCATGATAACACCAGAATACGCAAGGCCTTACCTGAATGTTTTATTGTGAGTTCAGTGACGGTGAGGGGAAGGGATCCCGTGAATCCTTTATATATTTATTCATACCAACAATAAACTCCTGCAAGGTATGTCTTTTCATTTTAATTGCTGTGAGGTATACAACATCTGGGCATTTAGGCAAGAAGTTGTGATATTCAATGACTCCTATTGTGCTCTCCTCTTTTCTGATCTTTTTCTTTGAGCATATTAATCGGAATTTCTGCTCGGATGGACAAAATCAAAACAAGGGAATTTGGCCATAGTTAGCTTCAGGTTTATTGATGATCTGATATAATTCAATAATGGCCAAATTGACAATCCCTTCCAAGGATGTACCAACTGAACTACAAACCAAAGAGATCAGTGGAATGGCCTCATCAGTTTCATACATAGGTCTCGACATCAATATTCAGTGTGACAATGACTCTCGTCAAGACATGCGAAAATACTTAAAACATTTGAATAATCAACTTTCCTTTCATGTCGATCAGTATTCAATCTATCGTTTATTTGCTATTGCAGACCTCCGGCCTAAATACCGAAATGACAGATATCTGTGGCTTTTGTGCACATGCAAATATGGACAAATATCAGTTTCCATCATAAAGGTAATAACAATTGATTACATGTTTAGGCTCGAATTTCTTAGTTTAAATGCAGTGTAAATAAACTTAACAGTTTGTTTGTCCTTGGTTAGGTGTTCTATACTTACTTTACACTCATTACATATTAACAAATGTTTATACTCATTCTCCACGTCGTTCCATTTACATACTTTACACACTTTCTTCAAACCGGTCTATTTTCAGCTCTGCCCTTTTTTTTATTTCTAATGGCAACAAACCACATCTAAAATGTATCTTTTACAATTCTTCAAGTCTAAAGTAGTTAAATACATTTCAATTTAAAAATTAATTTTGAATTGACTACAGCTTCTGATATACACGAATCCCTCGATTTTTGAGTAAAGACATATGTGCATAAATTGGCTTATATTATCCACACCTTGGTTCAGCCACTCGTTCATAAAACCATGTGAACAAAGAAATTGTAAATTAGCATATGAAATCCAATAACTTTTCCGCGCTCATCATAGTAGTGCGACATATTATATCATAACTTCTCTTTACATATCTGTGGCCTGACAACATAACAAGTGTAAGTCAATATTTTATTACCCAATATGATGTTTTAATATTGACATGTAGATAAATGCTGACATGTTCATTTTTTGTGATAATTTAAAAAACCCAACACATTTCAAATCCATAGTAGTTGGTTGGTTTGTTGTTAAACGCCGCACTCAGCAATATTCCAGCTATATGACGGCGGTCTGTAAATAATCGAGTCTGGACCAGACAATACGCCTTCTTGGACAAGCATAGTCGCCTTTTACGGCAAGTATGGGTTGCTGAAGACCTATTCTAACCCGGATCTTCACGGGTCCAAATCCATAGAAGAGAATTGGAAACATCTCTGTACAGAAGAGAATTGAAAACATCTCTGTATCGAAGATTTTAGTGAATACATTTATATTAGTTGTGGATTCAGTGCTCTCTTAGCGTCAAAGGACCGCTGTAGTATAATTACTTTCCAATATAAAGGAGATGTAAATATTACCCCTAAACACTCACTGTTGTAATATACCGCTAAATTGAGATCTATAGGACCACTTTTCCTTGCCGGCTGTTCTACGAACCCCCCTTCTAAATGCTACCTTTTTAGACGTATTCATATTTACACCAAGAACTGGCAACTAACAAAAACTCTGATAACATACTAGTATTCAACTGAATCTGTAAACCCGATACGTAATCTGAACAAAACACTACATCATCTGTAAACAACAATAAATATAACTGAAGAATATCTGTCATCAACTGGATACTATGTGTATTTAAAGATTCCATATTATTAACTAATATAACTAAATGATATACAATGACAACATAATATTGGGCTCAACAAACATCCCTGTTTTAAACCCTTGGGACAAGGGAAATATTATTATCTCTAACACAAGCCTTTCACAATTCTTGAAAAAGCTGTGTACAATTCACCTTTGTTTTTTTTAAAGCTGTACACGATATAAAGCTGTGCACGCGCAGTTACTCAGAACTCCCGCAGCGCATGCTCAAGCTCTTGGTGTCTACATTTCATTTGTGTCAACTTTTGAGGTACAATAGAGTATGCCCTTATTCCGAAATTTTCAACGAATCAGAAACTGTGTGAGGACATTTCCAAATGTGACGCATCATAAACCAAAATGTCTTCGACGCAATTCCCCATTTAGCCATGCTCCATATGTTCCCGTGCCTTTTCAGGTGGACATTTAACAGGCTGCGGGTGCCACCATTATGTTTGATTGCTTGTTGTTTAACGCCGCACTCAGCAATATTCCAGCTATATGACGGCGGTCTGTAAATAATCGAATTTTGACCAGGCAATCGAGTGTAGAAAAAAATGTTTCATCGAGTAAGAAACAAGAATAAAGAGATAGGAACAGATATTGTTTAATAATATAAATGTATCATATAGATCAATCAAATGCCGAAGCAATAATTGTTTTCATGCTTGATGCAATGTTTTGGATATCCAATAACAGTAGACAGTATATAATGAAAATAGTATTGCTAAAATGTATAAACACCAGATACATCACACGTGACCAACCTTTGAAGAGAGGGCAGAGTTTCCAGGCTGACAGCGAACTTGTTCCCGAGAACTGACCCAAACAAACCTCCAAGTAAAACATCGGGATTCCAATTACAAGCAGGAAGAAGAAAAATGGAACGAGGAAAGCCCCTAAAATTAGAGAAAATATCCTTCGGTTATGTAGTCATCCTATTATAATTTTGTCAACACTGATGGATAAGAAAATTGTATATTATAAACCTCACTACCTCGATGTAGTAAATGATGTGCAATGTTTCAAGCAGGAACATTGATGTGGTGTATATGTTTTTGATGAGGGTAAATATAGTACTCGTCTTTCCTATGTTTATTTGAATAAAACAAAATCAATGTATGACAGTACTTCAAAATGAAACAGAGGGACAAAGAAGTCTAACTCAAACAGGTATTACCTCCTCCATTGCGCATGCAAAGATAGGGAAACCGCCATAGATTAGACACTCCCACTGAATATCCAATGAGGGACAAGATGAAGTCCAACTTCCGGTCCCATTGGCCTCGGTCGGGTTTCGAGTCGTTCTCTTCTTCTGGTGTAGGTTTAACGTACTCACGAGAGATCTCATTAATGAATGATGTGGTTTCTTCTTTCTGTGCATGATCCATGACCTGCTCCATTCAATATATTAAAAAGCCTATTGACAAAATGCATCAATTCACTGATTAACTGACAAAACATTAAATGTATTATACACTAATTGTAGAGAGAGAGAGAGAGAGAGAGAGAGAGAGAGAGAGAGAGAGAGAGAGAGAGAGAAAATCATGTGCATGAAATGTATAATGCTATTTTTCAGCATTAAGAGATACTTCATAATCATCTTTATGTAGCTAATTGCTGTATCTTGTAATTTCCGCCATTGACAAATGCCATGAATGAATAGATTATCAACTAAGCAATGATGCGACTCAAGGTGTTTACAATTGTGAAAATGAATTCATGTGAATAAGAAAGATATGTTAGAAGACACGGAGGTATTAAGGTTGAATAAAAGTTATTGTGAGCGATGTTACTGAGCTGGTGAGATCAGCTGATTTTGTCAAATCAAAATCGTTCAGGATTCATGTTTCTTGGGGTACTGTTTTGCTCCATCAAGGGTGGTACTGCATGTACATTAAAGCGAAAAAAACCTTTTCCAAATTTTCAGGTTGTCTCTGCCAAAAGCAGAATGCACCACCCTTCTTGTTTATATTAGTCTATCACGACTTCAGTCTTTATTAGGTATTGTACATGTGAAAACAATTGGTGATACCCTTTCGTGTCCATCGTGATGTTATTATGATGCTTAAAAACATTTAAATTGAACACGCCTATACGTAGAATAGGTCTCAGCAACCCATGCTTGCCGTAAACGGCGACTATGCTTGTCGTAAGAGGCGACTAACGGGATCGGGTGGTCAGGCTTGTTTGCATGTCATCGTATCCCAAGTGCGTGGATCTATGTTCATGATATCAATCACTGGATTGTCTGGTCCAGACTCGATTATTTACAGACCGCCGTCATATAGCTGGAATATTGCTGAGTGTGGCGTTAAACAACAAACCTAACCAAAACCACTTACATTCTTATTGAAAATTGTGCCACTGGCAGAGCAGTGTATGCTTACCTTATGGTGTCATGTTTGGTTAACAGTATTCCATTCATAGAATGTTCATAATATGCCTAAAGGACTATGGCTTGGCAGACTTTCGAGACTCATGTGTTGATGTTTTGAATTTAGGACTTCATAGCACAAAATTAAGCAAAATGTCTAAAATGTTCTCGTCACTCGTTGCTGATCTATTTTGAATGTCAAAAGTTGGGCCATGGGGCCAAATACAGCATTAGCAAACGATAGTGTGCTGCCGTTACATTGTTCGACTGAATCTCTCATGTGTTCAAACTGTAGAGAAGATGTCATGGCCTCATCCAAATCTGTCTTTGAGATTGAATCTAAAATTATGAAATCAAATGCACAAACAATATTTCCAACCAATGCAATAAAATAAGGTCAATCGCCATTTCAAACTCCATCTGCCAAAACGTATTCAGCTGATGTATCTTCTCTGCCACTTGTTACCACAGCTGCTTCAGTTTCCACACAATGCAAAACATTCATCTCCTGGGTGAAGGATCATCAGATCATTCTTGATTTAACGCCGTTCTCGGCAATATTCCAGCTGTATGACGGTGGGGACACCACTCAAGTTTCCCAAAAGGACAATAATACATTAAGTTCGGCGTCACAAACAGAATAGATGTTTAATGCTTGTCGTAAGAGGCGACCAACGAGATCGGGTGGTCAGGCTCACTGATTTGGTTGATGCATGTCATCGTATCCCAATTTCGTGGATTGTCTGGTCCAGATTCGTTTATAAACAGACCGCCGTCATTTTGCTGGAATATTGCTGAGTGCTGCGTTAAACAACAAACAAAGTAACAAACAAACAAACAGATGTTATGCCATCATTTCCGACGTCTGACAAACATCAGAATCGACTGTTCTTATGTGATGCCCATCTCACAAAAAAAGACAAAAAAGAATAATGAGAAGGGCTAGACCCCTCCCTAACATTTGGCGATGCCTTCTTTTTTGTCAACCCCTGTGGAGGTTTTCAATCCTTTTGAACATTTCGAGATGGAAGTCACTCTTCCACGGCTTGTACATGGGAGTGGACCCCCTTAACGTTCAAGATCGCCAGTTGAGCCACCATGAGCTCTTCTGCTATTATCCAATGGAATTCCAAAGGACTTACGAATAATTTTAATGACTTACAATTATTACTTCGTGATTAAAAACCATCGGCATTTTGTACACACAACAACGCAAAAGTCTTTAACTGTATTTCGCAAAATGTCCTCGAGGACTACGCATAATGTTTGTAACACCTTTGTGTAGCTACGAGGGGACTACTTGTACGCAGAATGTCTGTAAAATTTCTGCGTACATACGCAAACACTCCACGGAGCTTCTACGGAGTATCTGCGAAACTAGTCGCCCCTTTTATGGGATCAGTTAGTTTCATGACCCCCGGGCGTCGGCACAAGCGTGGTGTTCGAAGACAGGTAAAAGATGTACATCCCATACGGTAACTGTTTTTTTTACTATTCATATTCTAATTTCATTCATAATACCACACCATTACATAACTCCTAGAAACTTTAAAATGACTTCAAATGTAAAGTACAATAAAGACTGTCATCTTGCAGATTTAGAACGAGCATAATTGATTATCATAAATATATATTATGTACAGCTGTAGTTACAAGTTATACATGTACATATACAAATATACGACCTTCGACCTTCGCCAGCGAGTTGAATAGTCCAGATCGATTGGAACGAAATGTAGAACGGGTGTAAAAAGTTTTTGAAAATACATGTAGTTTCTTAAATATGATTATAAAACGTAAGTCTCTTTAATTCCGCTCATTCACAATGTAAATTTCATTACGCTTTGGAAATAGAGCTGTCTTGATGGGATCGGAAATGTGACGTTAGCCAGCTGAAACTGTCTACCACTTCGATGAAACCCATCGGGGTCAACCGGGATTCGAACCCACAATCATAGGTTTCTGGCGTGCCCAAGGGACGCAACTCTGCACAGCGAAATTCGGAGCCACCCGTGCCCTCTACAGGGATTTAAGTATCTACTACACTTAACAAAACATGCATATAATAAAATAAAAACATAACCTCTCCGCAAGAATATATGGTGCAAGCATTCGATCGGGTAAGAATCGTAAACAATTAAAATACTTTTGTGTTAGAGTTGTCCTGGTGAAACCGCTCCCTCTGGCGGTCAAGGATTGGAAGGTGGTGAGGTTGAAGAATTTGATTAATGTAGCGATTTGCTGTCAAATTACCTGAACCACAACCAAGTCAGATCTCGTGGTGTAAGATATATATTCACAATCCCCTCATACCCCCCCCCCCCCCCCCCCCCCCCACACACACACACCATGACACCACCGTCACCGAATTTGTCGAATTCACGTACACAATATGGGGCAAGCGCCGCTGTTGATGGATCTGTTGCAAAACAGGGACGATAACTGGTCTTCGGGGTCGGATTCCAGCCTCGTGAAGATGATTCCTGACAGACTGGTCCGATATCCATCTCAAACCAGGGATTCCTCCTGCAGTCTCCGTAGCTGTGGCATTGCGATGACGTAGGTGGGACAGTCGAATGTGGCGATCCTGTGCAGGGGTGGTAATTCTAAATCGGGCATTGAACTGTGTGTATCGGTCACAAAGGCGGCAAATGGTGCTGTGATGGACGTTGAAGTGGCGTGCAACAGAAGACTACGATTCTCCTTGGATACGTCCTATGACGATGTTCCGATCGGCAGCGCTGAGTCTCGGCATTTTCGAACTTGCAAAATGTTGACAATTGAATGACAAACAATTGGCTTATGCTTGCCTTTTTATAGCCACTACCACGTATACGAATGCCATAACCTGCGTTTTGACGCACCGTTTGTCGAATATCAGGCCACCGACATTTTCCAATAACATAATTTATGTACCGGATTAGTAGTCAGGTTCAATGAATTACATACTACTGTGTGTGTTTTTTGTTTTTTAAGAGTGTATATGCTAGTACATACATGTAAACATGTAGATTTGCACAAGACAAGACACACAGTGCAAGTTGATCATAAATCAAATATCCATGTCAATAAGAATATTTAATGACAGCATTATTAAAGTAGGAATATTTTATAATATTGGTAGTGTATAATTTGTGACTTGGGTTGTTAGTGAGTGAGTTAAGATTTAACGTCACATCGGCAGTATTTCAGCCATATCGTGACGAGAAGTACATTAATAATACATAGACTTAGACTAAATAAAAAGCTGTCAACGAAGGACAGTACAATAACTAGGATATCACAGATTCGATTTTAAACTAGTTGAGAATATATAAAAACCATAAGTATCAGTGAACAACACAATATAAAAATGGGCTAGGGATCGTCAGTAACTAAAGGGAGATCACCATACTAGGGACCATGGGGACTTACAGTGCCTTTGCTTCCTGCATGGACCCCGGCAGGATTTACATCATCCCTTCAGTCGCTGGCGATGGTATGCAAGTTTAGCCATTGAATAAAACTAACAAATATACTACGATTTAAAAGTCTGGTATGCATAAAATGGGTGGTTAGTGGCTGTATGCTCATGCAAAAGGGGTTGAAGTAGTGTAAAGTTATTGTCCCTCTGAGAGGATATGTAAGACCACATGCTTCACAGTACCTTAATTCATGCCACAGTATTAAACGTAGTATCTTTGTTATTTTAACTGATGGCTAAAATCCGTATCATCGCCAGCAGCTAAAGGGATGGTGTTAATCCTACTTGGGGACCGTCAGGTAACAGAGGTATCGTTAGTCCCCACGGTCCCTAGTATGGTGGCCTAACTTTGGTTGCTGGTGATCTATAGCCCATTTATATATTGTATTGTTAAACGAGCAACTATATTGGGGACAAATCTCCCATGTTGTAAAATATCCTTACAGAATCTATCATATACATCTTGAGACGGGTGAATGCCCCATATATCTGAGCAGTAGAGAAGAACATGTAGTATTTTGACATCAAATATCTGTAAAAGTACATTATAA